CTCGAGGGAAAATCCGACGGAAACCATTTTGGGATAATTTTTTTGTTTAGGAGTTATATTTTCTCGGTAAAAAAGAATAGCAGAGATTTCATTAGTTACAGTAACATAGATCTTCAAATTCAATGAATACTTACTCAAGTTCTGGCAAATCAACAATATATAGAGAAAATGACTATCATTTTTTTAAAGTGCATTTAAAATTAATTGACTTCATTTGTTTGAAACAGACGTGAGCTCTGAAATATGTCGAGATGCAATGTATCTTTTTTATACTTAATTAATTACTTATCAGTTACCTAGAGTACGATCAATTTATGAATGCACTAATGGAGAAGAGTGCGTACCTAATATACTACAGAGACTATGTGCTACGACAAAATATTTTCCATCTTCAAAGGGGGTGATACAAATACATACTCGAAAAATTAATTAAGATCGAATTTATACTTATTGTAAGTAGCTAAAAATACACAAATGTAAAAGGCTGTCCTATAGAATAGTGACCTTAAATATTTTTTAAAATTTTCATGAACATTTTNCTAAAAATACACAAATGTAAAAGGCTGTCCTATAGAATAGTGACCTTAAATATTTTTTAAAATTTTTATGGCAAATAAATACTGTTTCGAGATTAAATTAAAGTCAATTTCTTCGACCCCAAAGTTTAACTCCAAAGTTGCATATTTAAAAATTTTAAATTTTCCATTTTTAACTTCAGGATTGGGGGAAAGATGTTGAAAGGGCCAGGGATGACTGAAGCGCAAGGATTAGAAGTGAAAAACATAAATTTCGAATAAGAAACTAACGTCACCTGAACTGCAAAACTAACCATATCACCTTACATACGGAAAGTATTATGATAAAAAATAATTTGGATTAACATAAAAAAAGAGAAAATTATAAATTTAGATCATATAACTGAATTTCTACGAATCGCTGCCAAATTATAGGGTTCTTTGAATCCAAAATAGCCGGTAGAAGTAGAATTAATGACTGAGAAGCTAAAACTTTCAGAGATTTTAATTGATTTACGCAAAAAAATTATTAATATTAATGTTATTGTTCAAATTAAGAAAATTTTTTGTCGGTATTTATGTCTCGCAAGAGAGCAAATCCATAATTTGGCAAATGTGTGGAATGAGTATATTATTTCAACTATTGCAGGTTTATCTGAAAATATCTCTTGCTTCTCTAAAAACTGCTCTAAACTTACTGAACTCTCACAATCCTTGAACAAAGTGCAACACTCGTCAAAACCTTGCATTTATTTGACTTATATACCTGATTTTTTGTATGATAAGATAACTTAAATGTATTTGTACGAATTTTCCTATATTATATATTGTAATGTCAAAAGATGATACTGCCCTTTATGATTGCATGCAATATAAAATCACTGTATTCAGCTCTGAACTTTCTACCAATCATTATTTATTATAAAAACTACAAAAAAAATATGGCCATTATTCTAGAAATTAATTGTTTAAAATGGGAAAGTAATTGGAGAAAAATATGTCAAATACATACCTTTTCGTCGAAGGTTGTGTGTATTTATCAACACTATTTCAACTCAGAGAAAAACGTACTAAAACACGTAAACTGCAAACGAAACAAAAATGTTGAGCGTCTTTAATGACAAAACTTCCACTTTTAACATTCAAGATTGAACTAACGATGGAACGACGAATTTATTATTACGAATTTCTCACCTATCGGTTCTCCTTTTCAAGGATAATGATATATCAACAGTAATTAACAATAAAAAAAGACTGGTCAAGTAAGTGTTGGACTCAAGCACTGAACGATTCTAAGGTATTAGGTATAAAAAATCTTAAAAGTATATGATAACAAATTTTAATCGTAATCAGAGCTTTTCCCAAAGGAGTGTCGATAACCAATGATTAAATTTCATTTCTTTTTTTTTTTATTTTACAGAGAAGTATTTCATCTAATATTTTTGAAAGTATTAGATATAACTTTTTCTATTAAAAAACACCTATTTGTCTACATAATAAACGTTTTTATATTTGTTGTTAACGTACAAAGAATGAATAATATTTTACATAATTTGCATTTTCTTACGTAAATTCGTTTTTGCGTTAGCTTGATTACAAAATGTACGTAAAATCTATGATTTTGAATTTGAAATCATTTTTTAATCCCCATAACAATCCCTAAATACCTCCATAGGGAGGATAACGATTCCAGAGGTAGGTAAATGAGAGAGCGCTTTGAAGTTGTCAAGAGGTGTGCTTCTGGCGTTCTTATCTATTTATAACAATTTGTTCCCCTTTTTCATAAATAAAAAGATAAAGAATCTTGTTTAATGTAAAATTATTTAAAATGGGTTAGAAATGAAGAGGTATTAGAAAGAATAGAAGAACAGAGGACTCTATGGAAGTCAATAAAAAATAGGCGAGGTAAGTTGGTAGAACACCTTCTCAGGCATGAAGTTCTAGTCAGAGACATATTAGAGGCAGAAACAGGAGTTAAGAGGGGTAGAGGTAGACCTAGGTTAGATTACTGTTCGCAAATAGTTCAGGATGTGGGTTGTTCTAGTTTTAGGGAAATGCGAAGTTTAGCTCAGGATAGGAGAGTGGAGGTACGTGTCCAAGCAGTCTTAGGACTGACGACCTTATGATGATGATGGTGAGATAATATGGGTTAGTGAACGTTGGAATTTCTTCTTCTAAAGGCGGTAACGTAGAATAGGTTGGGAACCTCTTAATATAGATTTGAAACCAGCATCAATGTAATGGTTGTAAAACTAAAACAACATAATTTAATTTAAACAATTATTACCTCGGAAACTATATGTCAACTTGCACTGGACAAATTATTAGAATTAACAAAAATTTTGTTAGAAGTACATACATATTTGCACAAGACTGTTAGAAGAACTTTGCAATAAATATCTGTACGACTATAATAGCCTCACGGAATAACAGGTTTGCATTTAAGCAAATTCAAATTTTTGATTCGATATTGGACTTTCTGAATGTACAAAACAGATTTTAACTGTACAATTCAAAAGAATGTGGCCACTCTCTGTAGTGTGAGATGTGACTAGCAAAAGTTGTGGTTCTGAGAAGAACCGATTTACAAAAGCGTTGGACACATTGCTGTGCCTAAGATGAGACGTAGCACTGGTACAGCATCCGATGGTCGATATCCTGGAGGTGATACTGTTGCAGTATACAATAATAGCGAGCCTGGTGTTAGACTAATTTTATTTCGATATTTACAGAGTATTTATACAAAATTATTTACATGGTACTATATGGCAAAGAACATTTCAGCATATTACATCTGTGTGTGTATTTGCCGTTGACCTAGTTAGTCGCAGTGTGTCGCGACCTAACTAAGTCAGCACAAATGTAGACGCTTAATTGATACACAACAATAATGTTTTTCGCTATACCGAGTGTTCCCACAAGAATATATCAGTTTTTGTTATTTTTTTATTTCATTTGTTATAATTTTAATTTCAATATAAATTTGAAATAACTTCGTTTATGCTTTAATTTGGACCTGACGATCTTTCCAAAGTTTACAGTAAAGTCATAAATAATGTTCTGTGGTTTTGGTCCTTGTTAACTCGAATTCTGAATTTTAATATATTCCTGAGGCAATTATACAAGAAGGATATTAAAATCAGTAGTGGGGCATCACTAGCATAAGTAAATAGAACTTCATTCCTGTAATGTAATGTATCCTAGCTGGAGACTCTAGCTTACAAGAAAGTATATTAGTTCTAAGTACATGAAGTTAGAGTTATTAGCTTATTGATTTCTTAACTTCAAAAATTAGCTTGGTGTATTCGGGGTCTAAAAATTATATATATATAATATAAAATTGAAGTTCCGTTCTTTTAAGATATATGTGCACGTGATTGTAGGAACCCGAAACATTGAACAGGGTCGTACTTAAAACTAGAAAATGTAAAAAATAACTCGAATTTTTACTTCAAAACCAAAGCATTATATTCAATATAGTTACTTTTTCTTAAAATTGCGTGGTACATTAGTTGTAATATACAATTTATTGTATTTGTCAATAACTCCCAACATTTTACATTAAAATCGTAATGGCAATTTTTACAGTAGATACCCAAGCAATACTTATTTGACAAATTTTAGAAAATATTTTTGCAACGATTTAGCATAATAAGAAATATCATAGTAATTAATAAAATAAATGAATAAACTTAACAAGAAATAAAGTTAAGAATACGAATGTAATTACTTTTATTATTTTTCGTAGTGGTGCATATTGAAAGAAATTGTCTAGCAAATGAATATTTTGCCTTTTTGAATTAATTTGAGGAGTTCTTATAAAGTATAAAATGCTTGAAAATTCCGAAATGCCACCATACACTGAATGCCACCCTTCAGTATAAACTACAACCCCGGATTGACTAATAAGCAACGCACTGGCCACGTGGTCTGTGATAAGGCGTCCAGGTTTATTTTCGTTTGGTCTATCTATTAAAAGAAGGAACTTTACTTACCTTTATTTTTTTTTTTGAAATTGCATCACTTGTAATTTCACTGGAGTTAAAATATAGAAACGAAAATATATGGTGTCAAAATATTTTCACATCATATGTTCTTTACCGAAATGAACAAAATGTAATTGCATATACATAAATAATAAATACAAAGAGATGCTGTTTTTTTTTAATTCTTACACACACTTCAAAATACGATAAACAATTACAGCGACATATTTTCTACAGTTCTTCTAATTCGTCTAACACAGTACGACTTACCTTAGAATAGAAAAAGCTAAAAGATGAAAATCCATGATTAAACACGAATAAAGAAACACAGAAAGATTTTCACAAACTTTTTATTTCGTAACATACGTTTCGCCTACTCAATTCATCTGGGGAAGTCAAATATATGCTACGAAATAAAAAACTTGTGAAAATCCTTATTCGTATTTAAAAGCTATTATAGAAGTGCTACAAAACGGACATGCGATAAATAATATGTACAAATGTTTAAAATGCTTTATTGTGACACCCGAGGAAACATTTAAATTACAGCCAAGGCCGATTAAACTACATTTTCTTTATACAAATATCGTATTGATAAAACGTCCTTTTTTATAACTTACAGAAAATAATACAAATATGATTTGAATAGCAATATGACTAGATTAAGGGGGCAGATTGAAGTCAATTTACGCTGGTGCGTTTCCACATTTTGGGGAAAGACTTGTATGATTTTTCCAATCTTCACTTGTCGGTGCAGTGGCCGCGAGGGTAGGTGGGGAAGATCCTGGATGAGATGTGGGGGTGCTCAAAATACTCAGGGCGTGTTTTATACAATTTTCTGTGGATGGATCCACCTGAAACAACACGTAAAAGCGTCCTATTTTTTTCTTGTTTTTACGAATAAGGTATTACTACAGAAAACAGCAAAAACACTTAAAATTGCGGCTAATAACAAATGTAGATATTTCGCCGAGTCGCCGAGAAAACGATATTTTTATCGCAAAACAAACATTACAATTTTCCATAGTAAATGACTGCGAATTTGCCATAGAAATAGTAGAATTTATTAGGTAACTTGTAATAATATTAATTTTGACATTTTTTTTTTTAAATAGTTTCAAGTTTCTTAATTATTAGATACAGTTTAATTTGTAATATCAACTAAAATACCTAGTGAATTTATTCCTGTTGGGTTTTTATCTTTACAAATTCGGGTCTAGTGAGATAAACTGCAAATATCGCTTTAATATTTAGGTCAATTTTCGTTTTTGATTCGCTTCGTGAACTATTTGCAACTAATGTAGGACTTTTTCTGTCCCTCTTAACTCCTGTTTCTGCTTCTAATATGTGTCCAATAAAATGACGTCAGCGAAATCTCGTTTGCGAGACCATTTTATGTACTGGCTAGGAAAAGTGTTAATCAAAACGAGCCTTTTGGCTGCGAAACCCCATAACTATTACTGTTACCAGGCGATTCTGCTACTTGTACGATGTTTTTAGAATGGTTATTTTTCGCCAGATTCTTTCTAATACATCCTCTTTACTTACCCATGCTATCCGCCGTATTCTCAGACTCTGCTACTAACATCAGCTTCAACTTTTTATTTTCGACCGTNATTGTGTATTGTGTAAATAAAATTGTATATAAAACAAATCTACAGTCCATTACTTCTTCGAAGTGATTTCACCAAATTAGTAAACCGGCGGGATATCGCCATATCGAACATTCATTTCAGCTGGGATTTCATTTTTACAAATTCGGGTCCAAATTGTGATTTGCAACGGGCTAGTAGGATAAACTGTAAATATCGCTTTAATATTTAGGTTAATTTTCCTTTTTCATTTTATCCCTGTAGGTACAAGAAGAAAAAGTGTGCTTTCTCGACCGATACAATACTATTCAATTCAGATGGAATCTACAGCGCAGATATATGCAGTGCCGTACACACAAATAACATAGCGAAAGAAGATTTGAAGATGTTTTATTAATCTGCTGTTAATTGTTTTTTCATCACTAACAATGTTCAATTTTGCTAACAACTTATACAACAGTCAAAATACTGGGAAGATATGTATACATCATTTACTTTCTCTAGCGATGTGCCCCTTCCAATGCCTTGGATGCACGCTGGCAAAATCGTAGGTAGGGAGAAAAAAACTCATTATAGTCTTGACTCTTGTTCATTAAACATACTTTCTCATACAGTACCTGCCAAAAGTTTTGTTCAATCATGAATAGTAGTGCGAGTCGAAAACAAGCGTTAAAGCCTTTAATATGTCTTGAAATATAAACAAACATCTCGTTGATATTTTCAGTAGTAAATGGTACCGATAACAGCACATTTGAGTAATGTAATTGTGGTGGATAAAATGGTCAATTTTTCTGTGCAGTACTGTACGGATTATACGCTCCTCACCGGTTAAGAGTTTGGCCGAGAGTTGTCTTGCGCCGGTCAAACTGAAGGTCACATCGCTACAGAAAGTAAACGAAGTATACCTAGGTACCTACCAAATTATATACAAATTGACATTGGGGAGCAACTATAGGTACCATAACCTTTTTGAAGTTCGAATAATTTCATTTGGGGACTGACAGTGACATGGAGAAAATGAAAAATGAAAATTTACCTAAACATTAAAGCGATATTTACAATTTATCCCACTAGCTAAATAAATCCCAGCAGAAATCTATTTACCTATTAGGTATTTTAGTTGATACTACAAATTAAATTGTAATAATTAAGAAACTTGAAATAATTTCTTTTATAAACCAAAAAAANACTGACGACCTTATGATAATGATGAATTAAGGAACTTGAAATAATTTCTAAATAAGCATGTGAAAATTGAGATTATTACAAGTTACCTAATAAATTCTACAATTTCTGAAGCAAATTCAGTCATTTACAATGGAAAATTGTAATTTTTGCGTTGTCATAAAAATGTAGTTTTCTCCGTGGGGGTGCAACTCGTCTGTGACCAGAGGGATGATCTCAATTTTAGCAGAATTATAGAATTAATGAACACGTACAGTTGACTGCAACAGTAAAATATGTAATACTTTTTTCTATAAGTATTTAATAACATTACAATTTTTAAATCAATTTTATCAGTGGAAGTCTATTTTAAATTTTTAATGTTTGGTTTTGTGGCTTCTTCTTTGTATATGTTATAATTGTTCTTTAAAAGACAAACCTTTAGGTCTTAATGAGATAGTTGCCGCTTTTGGAGCGAATTGAATCAATTTCATTTCAATTATCATAGAAACAATTTGAATGCGTAAATAAAAATTAGCCTGCGTTTTTCTGGAACTACCAATATTAGTAAATATGAGCTATCCCTTGTTTTACCTACTTTAAATTCATGATTGGGCTATTCACATTGATACCATTTGCTCAAATTTGTATTGGTTCAACTAGTTTGTATAAATAATATAATAATAGGGATTTAAAACTTTCGTAATATTCATTATTTTGTTTAACTCATAAGTTAGAAGACTTCAGATTATTTAATTCAAAAATGGTAATATTTATTGAGAAAATTGATAGAGTTGGGCTCTACTATACGAAAGTTGATTATAATGATATTTGGTAAAAAACACTTTTTGAAAACTTTCACTTAATTTTTTTATTAAATTCTTAACAAGTTTCGACCTACAAGGTCATCTTCAGAAGAAGGATTAATAACTGAGTAACAACAATTTGGTCTAGGGTGGGGGATGTAAAAGGGGGTTGTAAATACTTTACACACGTTCTGACAATAGGGGAATCGTAAATATTCTCTATTTCGTTTGTTACAATTTTACTGTTTGAATATGATTAATTAATTTTCTGAAGATGACCTTGTAGGTCAAAACTTAAAAACATTAAGGGAACGTTTTCAAAAAGTGTTTTTTTACCAAATATCATGGTAATATTTAGTTTAAAAATATTAGATTAGGCGTTAGCTGCTGGTTAGTGTATTTTTGAAAGCGGTTTTTATGAACTGAAATATGAAATCCGTTCAAACCTTGATTATGTCTTCGATTTCTTTTTCGTTGCGAGAACTGCTCATGGAGTCGGGCGAATTCATATGGTCATCCCTGCCATTTTCACTTAAAAAATCTTGGTCACCATTGTGACAATCAGCATCGTCTGTATCTGCGTGCTCGTGACCTTTATTGTCCTGAAACAACAATTTATATTTTTTTTCCGTCGTTTTACTATTTAGAATTAAAACAAACAAAATAGCTCAAAACCCCAACGCCAAAACACGACACTGTAGTTGTCCGAAGCACTTTTCTGTAACAAAGTTACCTTCTTCAGGGACTGAAGTGAACTAGAGTTCACTAAAGTGTCGTGTTTTGGCGTTGGGGTTTGAGCTATTTTGTTTGTTCTACAACAACCGCCAAAGTTTTTCCAATCTTCATATTTATTTAGAATCACTTAAAAGGCATAGGCTTTTTCTGTTATTACGTACTGTGGGTTTTATGTTTACGTACAAAAATTTATTTAAGTAGTATTTATATAAAAGTATTTAATATCTAATATTATTGTACGAAAGTAGGAAAGGGAAAAGAAAAGAAGAAAAGATTCAACAAGTACTGTATGTTTTTTATTAGGCGTATCGTGAAAGTACTACATATGTGCCAGGTAGCTGCTGAAATTCTGAGTTGTTTAAAAAAGTGATCTTTGCTGCTTCAGTTTGATCCTATTGTTGCTTTTAGCATTATGACATATATCACCTTTTGTAATTGGTGGGTGAGCCAGGAGAAAATAAATATCTGTAAAATAAAATAAAATGACGAAGGAATGTCAGTATTTATAACGATGTGAAACTGCAAAAGCAAGATAATTCTCAACTGTTGAAATTTCATTATTATTATTTTCTGGCGACCAATCTCTTTTACTTGAAAATAATTAGATGTCCAGATGATAAGGGCAACAGGACGCGAGTTTTGGACAAATGACTTCCGGGTGTCTTCAACTCTGCTGCTTCCCAAAATGGCAAAGCATGAAAGTAAGCATAAGAAAAAGCGATTTTTTGGAAAAAAGAGAGCATGGGAAAACACCTCTAGACTAGTTTAGACTTAGTGCTATTTTGAAAGTTATCGATAATTATTGATATATCGATAACATTAATAGCAAATTACAACTATAGATATAATCATATATTCGATTATTTTATTAATAGTTGTTAATATTTTCAATTAATATGTATCGATATAAATGTATATCTACAACTATCGATATATAACGGGTGAACTTACAATTTCCTACAAGAACTGCGGTGCTCATCCTTGTACAGAAATTCGTTGTCGAGTTATAAAATTCCAAAATTAAAAAAGAAAAATTCTTATGTTATTTAAATGGGAAATAGAAAAGTGTAGAATGCCATCTGTAAATATTAATATTAAGGCTCATATTTTAACAGGATCTGTCTAGGGATACTCTACCGTTTTTCAATGTTCTTAGAAAAAAATAAAATATTCAACTTCTTTGAAAGACCTGTTTCATACGATTCGGTGAATCTGGATCGGCGGCGTGTTTATCGCATGAAACTTCGTAACAATCCTAATTAAAGGGTTGTAGGTTTCTATTGTTGATTGAAAAACACTATAAATTTTGTAGAATCTATTGATATATATACAATAATATATACACTGCCTTCAATCGGCGTACGCTTGGTGAAAGCAACTACACGGTGAAAAAAGAACGGTGAATGAAACGGTGAAAAATCAAAATGTGCGGCTTGACCGCAGCTTTCGAACTTCAATGCTTGATGGTGCTGATTGCTGATGGCTCGCTTTTTAAGGGTGAAAAGGTGGTGAGACAGAGAAAGACAGCACAGAAGTACTAGTAACCGGCAAGAGAAGGATAGGTGAATAGTGGTCGAAAGCGGTGATGCTGAATATAGATAGTCGAATTCCCTTCCGGGTACTAGCCGAGTTCCTTCCCGGGTACCAGCCGAGTTCCCTCCCGTTCGTATCAACTCCGATAATTAAGTTAACGATTACTTACCGATTTTATTTATCGAAAATAAATATGTATTTATAGTGCACTTCAGTACTTCAGTAAATTAAAGATAAAATAATTTCAGAAAGAAAACACATATCAGTTATGAAATGTTTATTTATTTAATTTTAAAATGGTTTCCCACTACCTTAACAAATTCAATGTTTGGAAATTCGTGTGCGTCTAGCTTTTTGATGCAATCATC